CCCACTGTCCCTCCCCCTAGTCCACCTCCATTCCGCCTCCCTCCTGGATTCCTTTGACATTTGGTGGAGCGTCTGGAATCTGCTCCTTAAGGGAGGGGCTATGTCACGGTGGCCAAGATGGCCACCAGAGGGCACTCCTGTGGATTTTTGTGAGCACATAGCTTGTGTTGTGTTTGTTTGGTGCCATGTGCTCTCTCCTGTCTTATTGTCTGTCCCCTCCCATCGTCACCTCATTATTGTTTAAGTTACTCCACCTGTGTCTCCCTTGTTACCCTCCTCGTTTGTCTCCCTATTTATTCTCCTTGTGCTTGCAGTCCTGTGCTTCTTCATTGTTGTATGTAGTCAGATGTATCTGTGTGTTTCTGGTATTGGGCCAGCTCTACCTGCTATGCCCTGTTCTGGCCTTCACGCCTGTTTTTCCCCCTCGGGGGAGTTTGTGTTTGTTTTGTTTCATTTTATTATTAAAAAGACCCATTATTCTCCTGCATTTGAGTCCTCGCCTCATCACTCTCCAGTACCATGACAGAATGAAGAAGCCAAATGTCAGCAGCCCCCTCTACCAACGTATGCTCCAATTCGTATCGTATCAGCATTGAGTTCCCTCCGGCAACAGGGGACTGACCTGAAGGAATTCGCCTTGGAATTCAGGACTGCTGCAGAGGGGCTGAAGTATAATGATGCGGCTCTCAAGGACTTGTTTTCTTATGCCCTTGATGAGCCGATCAGCAAGTCTTTTGGGGTGTTTGTGGACTTTCTAGCCCACAACGGGAGACAGTCAGTTCCTGAACAGGAGGGGCTTTTTCCTGAAATGGCTGCCTGTTCCGAGTCTCATCACAAGATGGCCGCCAGTCCAGAGCCTCTTCAGAGGAGAGCTGCCAGTCCGGAACCACTTCACAAGGTGGTCTCGGGTCCACTTCACAAGGACCCGACTTCGCTTGTCCCGAGTCTAGTGGTCCTGGAGGGCCCGGCTCCTGTAGACCCAAGTCCGGTGGTCCTGGAGGACTGGACTCTGGTGGTCTCAAAGGTCACCACAGAGCCGTCCAATTTCACTGCTGCTGCCAAAGTCAAGAAGGCGGTCTTTGCCTTTGGCCTCTGGACTGTTCCGTGTGCATGGGAGCATTCAGAGTCCACTCCAGAGCCTGCTCCAGTCCGGGAGCATTCAGCGTTCACCCCAGAATCCGCTCCAGTCTGGGAGCCCTCATAGTCTACTCCAGAGTCTGCTCCAGTCCGGGAACCCTCAGAGTCCACTCCAGAGCTTGCTCCAGTCTGGGAGCCCTTAGAGTCCACTCCAGAGCCTACTCAAGCTTATGAGTTCACTCCTAGATTCACTCCAGTCCGGGAGCCCTCAAGGGTCCGCTCATGAACACGCTCCAGTTCAGGAGCCCACTCCAGTCCAGGAGCCTTCAGAATCCATTCAAGAACCCACTCTAGTCAGGGAGCATTCAGAGTCCACTCATGAACCCGCTCCAGTCTGGGAGCCTTCAGTGTCCACTCAAGGGCCAGCTCCAGTCCAGGAGCCTTCAGACTCCACTCCAGAGCCCGCTCAATCCAGGAGCCTTCAGGGACTGCTGAAGTTCCTCCCGAGGTGGCGGCTTCTGCTGTAGAACCTCCTGAGGTGGCGGCATTTACTTCAGCTCCTCTCAAGTGATGGTTCTCTTTTCCACCTGCTCCGCCCTGGTCAGCTTACGTTCCACCCTGGTTCCATGATCCGCCTCAGGATCCAGGTCCTCTTCCCCTACACTGTCCCTCCCCCTAGTCCACCTCCATTCCGCCTCCCTCCTGGATTCCTTTGACATTTGGTGGAGCGTCTGGAATCCGCTCCTTAAGGGGAGAGGTTATGTCACGGTCTGCAGCTGGAGTGCCCAAGATGGCCACCAGAGGGCACTCCTGTTGATTTTTGTGAGCACATGGCCTGTGTTGTGTTTGTTTGGTGCCATGTGCTCTCTCCTGTCTTATTGTCTGTCCCCTCCCATCTTGTCACCTCATTATTGTTTAAGTTACTCTACCTGTGTCTCCCTCATTACCCTCCTTGTTTGTCTCCCTATTTATTCTCCTTGTGCTTGCAGTCCTGTGCTTCTTCATTGTTGTATGTAGTCAGATGTATCTGTGTGTTTCTGGTATTGGGCCAGCTCTACCTGCTATGCCCTGTTCTGGCCTTCACGCCTTTTTTTCCCCCTCGGGGGAGTTTGTGTTTGTTTTGTTTCATTTTATTATTAAAAAGACCCATTATTCTACTGCATTTGAGTCCTCGCCTCATCACACTCCAGTACCATGACAAGCATAAAAAAGAGCTTTCCTGGAGCATTTCAGTCCTTGGTAGTGCACCTGAAGCAAACAATCAACTATGGGTGGCAAGACACTGTCAAAAGATCTCTGGGATAAATCTCTGGAATAAAGTTGTGAACAGGCACAAGTCAAGAGGTGGTTACAAAAACAATTCAAAGACTTTATCAATGCCTAGAAGCACAGTGAAGTCTATTATTAAGAAGTGGATGGTATTTGGTAAAACACAGACCCTCCCTGAATCAGGACATCGAAAGAGCCAGGAGGAAGCTGGTCAGAGAGGCTACCAAGAGGCCTACAGCAGCTCTGAAGCAGATGCAGGAATTTATAACAAATAGCGGTCATTGTGTGCATGTGACAACAAGATCACAAATTCTCCACAAATGTGGCTTGTATGCGGGTTGCAGGGTTAAACAATATATCTGGCAGAAATTCAATACAGCTCACCATCCAAATAACAGCCTTCCTACAGTAAAGCATGGAGGTGGTAATATCCTGTTATGGGGTGTTTCTCTGCAGCAGGGACTGGAGCACTTGTCAGGATAGAAGGAAAAATGGATGGGGCAAAATACCGTCAAATTATTAGGAATTGAGGAAAATCTGCTGTCCTCTGCCAGAAAGTTGTCAATGGGAAGAAGGTTTACCTTCCAACGTGACAATGACCCAAAGCACACAGGAAACCTGAGCACACAGTGATTGTAGGAGAAAAATGTGAATGTCCCTGCATGACCTATTCAGAGCCCCAGACTTAAACCCCATTGAAAATCTGTGGAATGACTTGAAGACTGCAGTCCACAAACAGTCACCAACCAATTTAACTGAACTTGAGCAGTTCTGCAAAGAAAAGTGGGCAAATATTGCAAAGTCTATATGTGCAAAGTTAGCAGAGACATATCCTAACAGACTAAAGGCTGTAATTAAAGCAAAAGGTGGTTCAACAAAATACAGACACAAGGGAGTGATCCTTTTTCAAACTCAGTGATTGTTTTTTTAAATTTTTTATCCAGTAAATTCAGCTGGATAAATCAAAAATTGTGTCCATCTTCATTTCTGGCTGCAAAGCAACAAAATTTGAGTATTTTAAAGGGGGTTGATTTATTTTCTATACCCACTGTAATTCTCACTCTCAGCTGCTACTGATTTGTTTATCTATATTTGTTTCTGGAAAACTTCCCCCAAGGTTATAACTCTTGTTTTTATTTGTGCAACATTCAGTTTTGTTATTCATGGTTCCTTACTGTGCAGTGTCTACTGTTTCTGTCTGCTTCCATCTGGAAATGTAGTATACCTTGGGCAAATTACCTGTAGTGATTTATATTATTCTATTGATCTTTGTAAAGGAAAACACAACATGTGTCCTTGAAGGAGCCTCAGGCTCAAGCATGCATCTGGTTTTGCAATAAAAAATATATTTCCATTTATAGTGCACAATGGAAGCTTGAAAATATGTACAAAAAAAAAACCTTGCACAGATGCACCATAAACTGGAATCAAGCGATACAACAGTATAAGTAATATACACTGAACAAAATTATAAACGCAACACTTTTGTTTTTGCCCCCATTTTTCATGAGCTGAACTCAAAGATCTAAGACTTTTTCTATGTGCACAAAAGGCCTATTTCTCTCAAATATTGTTCACAAATCTGTCTAAATTTGTGTTAGTGAGCACTTCTCCTTTGCCGAGATAATCCATCCACCTCACAGGTGTGGCATATCAAGATGCTGATTAGACAGCATGATTATTGCACAGGTGTGCCTTAGGCTGGCCACAATAAAAGGCCACTCTAAAATGTGCAGTTTTACTGTATTTGGAGGTCCGGGGGGGGTCCGAAAACCAGTCAGTATCTGGTGTGACCACCATTTGCCTCACGCAGTGCAACACATCTTCTTCGCATAGAGTTGATCAGGTTGTTGATTGTGGCCTGTGGAATGTTGGTCCACTCCTCTTCAATGGCTGTGCGAAGTTGCTGGATATTGGCAAAGTTAAAAGTATTATTTTATATTATTTATTTTTAATAAACTATGTACATGCAAACATCTTTCATTTTACTTGTTGAAATAATGACCTCAGTATTCCCTATTACGGTTCAATTTTTTTTCTTTATGTCTTGTAATGTGTTACATGTTTTTGTTTTTTTTAGTGTAAGATTTCCTTTTACTTGTTTAGTTAGGTAGATATGTCGGTGTGCAAGGATCGAATTGTGGTTTCTGCTGTAACAATATAATTTCCTGTGAAGGATTAATAAAGTATTTAATAATAATAATAAAAAATTAGTAAACCCAGTGACCACCGTCCCCTTGTGTGTCTCAAAATAGCTGTTAATTCATTACAGTGCATTTCAATATTATGCTCCCTTTTTGCTGTTTCAAGGATGGGGATGTCATTGGCATAAACACGCTAAAGGTTACGCCAGGAATATCATTTGCCATTCCCTCGGACCGCATACGGCAGTTCCTTGCAGACTCCTATGACAGACAAAGAAAAGGTTTGCAAATTTCTTATGAGCTGCTTAGTTGTTTTTATCTTGATTAAATTAACTATTTTCTTAAATTTTCAGGAAGAATGCAGACTAAAAAAAGATATATAGGAGTGCGAATGCTTCAACTTTCAGCTGCGTAAGTTTGGTTTTTTTCCTTCTTTTCAAATATTCTTTTATGAAGATATAAAAATATATTTATATATATATATTTTTTTTTTAATCATCAGTTTGATTAAGGAGCTCAAGGAGAAGGAGAGAAACTTCGCAGATGTGAGCTCAGGGGTGTATGTGTATGAGGTTATTCCAGGGACAGCTGCCTTCAGGTAAAGGAATTTGCCTACACCTCCTCTTACTCCTCCCGATTAACCCCAACTACACCTCTAAGCCCAGAGGCCCCATTCATACTATCAAAACCTTCAGTCAGATCAAGATGTATATCCTCATCGTATACCACAAGGGCTTTTACATATTTGCCAAAGAATACATTTTTCCTGTAGCACTTCTGTCCTATGATGACATTCCTCATAAGGTATTTTGTTTTTGTGTGTCTGGCATTAGAAATTTAAAGGGATAGTTCACCCAAAAATGAAAATTGTCATTTACTTTGAGGAATGTTGATAACCAAAACAGTTTGGTAACCAAATTGGTTCCCATTGACTTCCATTGTATGCACCAGAATTTTTTGGTCATTTACATAATGACAGAATTTTCACTTTTGGGTGAACTATCATTTTAAGTGGATAAGTTTGCTTCAGCTATTGTCTTCAAGTGCACTGTCCACTTGAACAAACTACAGATAATTAAAGCAAAACACCCTGGCCTCTCTATTGCTTTCTTATTTTATTTACAAATAAATGGAACAGTTTAGAGCCCAAGCCTGATCCGTTAGCTGCTGTAATTAACACTCACAATACAAGCTGTACTGTGTAGAATAACAAAGAGTATCACAAACATTTCACATATTGCACTTTGTTTTGCACTTTTGTAGCGCTGGCTTGCTCAACCAAGATGTGATAATCAGCATTAATGGACAATCAGTGCATTCTACAGAGGACGTGCGTCAGGCCGTGCAGTCAGACAGAGTTCTCTCTTTGGTGGTGCAACGTGCTAATGAAGAAATCAAACTAAAAGTGGTTCCTGATTAAGTGGACTGAAGCTTTCTGGAGCTAGTTTTTATCTACGTACCTCCAAACAATATAGTATCCACAAATGTGCATTACTTGAAAAGGGCATTATATTAATAGCATTCAGCAGTGGTTCCCAACCCTGGTCCTGGAGGCACCCCAACACTGCACAGTTTGCATGTCTCCTTTCTCTGACACACCAGTTTCAGGTCTTGGAGCAGGGGTCATCAGATTAGATCGTGGAGGGTCGCTGTCCTGCAGAGTTTAGCTCCAACCCTAATTAAACACACCTGAACCAGCTAATCAAGCTCTCACTAAGTATACTTCAAACTTCCAAGTAGGTGTGCTGAGGCAAGTTGGAGCCAAACTCTGCAGGACTCCAGCCCTCCAGGACCGAGTTTGGTGGCCCCAGACTTGGAGTCTCTACTAATAAGCTGATGACCTGAATCAGGTGTGCTTGATTAAGGAGACATGCAAAACGTGCAGCGTTGGGGTGCCTCCAGGACCTGGGTTGGGAACCACTGGCATACAGTATAAGGAAATGTCAAGGCCAAGTGATGCGTTTTGATACGAATACAAAAGTCTTTAATTTTTAAGATGTATTGTTCTTTTGTATATATTATCCTGATTGAGTGTAATGTCAGTTTTACATTGCCAAATATCATAAGATACTCATATACACTACTGTTTAAAATTTTCATTTAAAATAACTTTTACATTTTAATATATTTTAAAATGTAAGTTATTCCTGAGATGGCAAAACTGAATTTTCAGCAGTCATTACTCCAGTCTTTAGTATCACGTGATCCTTTAGAAATCATTCTAATATGCTGATTTGCTGCTCAAGAAACAAGCATTGTGTTTTGAGTTAGAGAATTGTAGTGCATGCAAACATTGAAGCCAATTATCTGTCAGGCTGCAATCCATCACATGGTCAACATACACACACCTCATGCACTTACTTTATAGAATCCTTTTCATTGCCATGCACCAGTCAAACAAGTCTTTGTACCCATATTATTTTAACAAAGCCAAAAGGGGGGAGTCGTGGCCTAATGGTTAGAGTCAGACTTGTAACCTTGTAACTTGGTCATGGGTTCGAGTCTTGGATTGTAGGTTGGCAGAGTGAATGTACAGCGCTCTCTTCCATCTTCAATACCACGACTGAGGTGAGAACCTCGAGTAAGGCACCAAACCAACTGCTCCCTGGGCGCTGCAGTAAAAATGACTGCCCACTACATGTCACATCAATAAAAAAAAATATTGAATTACAAGCACATGTTGTTTTAAAGTAATACACTTGGATGAGTTGCAACATATCCCAAAGTGGCTATTTTTTTTCAACAGTTCATCAGTAAATAAATAACTTCCATAACTCAGGCAAGCCACGGAACATGAACGAGACCATTTTTACAGTTTTCAACAAATTGCTTTTTGAATGGTGTGTGATAAAAACCATGGGAATTCTGCCTAGGGATGCATGTTTCCTACTGTCTATTATTGTATGTATTTTTAATTGCAAGCTGTTTCATAACATCTGTCTGTTGACAGCTCTTTGTAGGTATTCAGTCTAAAACAAAATCTGTATCATCTCTGCAGCTGGTTTGACTGCAATCCGGTCCTGAAAACCAAAACTTGATTTGATTTTAAACATCATTTTGTAATTGGGAGCATGTTCAGAAAGACTATACAACAGTAAAGAACAAAGACGGAAAAGTGTAGTCCATTTAGAAAATATCAAACTTATTTCCGAGAGGACTTGATGTTGTTTGTTTAATAAAGATTACACTCAGATCAACATAAAAATGTACATATCAATTAAGAGTTCTACTCTTTGAAGATGACATTTATTTACAACACTGCTTCACATAAACACTTTGCAAAAGAAACAAGAGAGAACAGTATTTTACAAATAATAATGGCAAATAAGGCCCATTGTATGCCCACATGCATACAGTGTAACTCATAACTTGTGAGCATGAGAAAGGTGAATCAGATGCAGCCACTTTAAATCAGTAGAAAGTGCACCAGTTGCTGCTGTCGCTGGGGGTCAGGCCTCCTGTTATCAGGAGAATGAGGTCCACAAACCACCAGATGCCAAGACCGCCCAGGGTAAGCAGCTTTCCCACCGCAGTTCCAGTGTGTCCGAGACAGAACCGATCGACGCCGAAACATCCCAGGAAAAATGAGTACAGTAGGGTGGTGATGAAGTAGTGTCCTGTGTATCTTAATAAATCACAAAGGAAAACATTGCCAATGCCTTAATAGGCTATATAGCTTTTAAAAAAGCAAAGAATTGCACTAATATGCGTAAGCTATGCAAGTACTGAACACACTGTATAAACAAAATATTATTACTTACCTACAAGGTCCTTAATGGGTTAGCTCCTGCGTACCTAACTAGTCTTCTACCACGCTACAATCCATCCCGCTCCCTAAGGTCGCAAAACTCTGGACTTTTGGTAGTACCTAGGATGGCAAAGTCCACTAAAGGAGGTAGAGCTTTTTCAAATTTGACTGGAATAGCCTTCCTGATAACGTTCGGGGTTCAGACACACTCTCTCTGTTTAAATCTAGATTAAAGACACATCTCTTTGGCCAAGCATTCAAATAATGCATCTCATAATCTTGTATTGTAGTTTAGCTTGGGTTAAACAAATCAATTTTGCTTGGTTGGAACAGCAGCTACGCTAATTATGTCTCTATTTGTTTCTCTGGATTTACACAAGCTTCAGTCTGGATCCAGAACACCTGAGAAGAGATGATGCAACCCCTCAGAGGACCTCAGATGATACCAACCCTGAAACCACATACAGAACTACCACATTTAGTTTGATTGCATCATATAAAAATTGCTGTTAATAGTGTTCATCGTCTGTTTGATTACGTCTTTAATTTATTTTTCCGTACATTTCTGCCATATGTACATTAACTGACAGTCACCACTGATAAGCTACCACTAAATATTGTAGAAACTTAATTTGCTGTAAAATTGCTTTGCAACGGTTTTTATCGTGAAAAGCACTATACAAATAAAACTTGAATAAACTGTCCACAGTTAATAACGGGAAAAGTTCCAAAGTATATGTTTAGTGTAAAGCCTGTGAACTGATGCAGCTCTATTTACTGAAGGCCAGTCATGAGATTATACAGCATTATGTACATGTAGACAGTGAATGGGATCCATAGGACTTTACTGCCCTCTTGTGGTAACAAAATAAAAAAATTATGTAAAGCTCTTGTGAAGAAGAGGTCAAACAACAGGAAACACTTTGTGTAACTGGCTGCCATCTCGTGTTAGCAGGGTTCCAACATTCTTGACAATTTAATTTTCCATTAACTTTAGTCAATTGTGTTTACTGAATAAGGATTTTAAGACCAGTTCACTTTTGAATTGTTCAGATCATTTTGGAAGTCAGTTTTGTGAACATTTCTATGGCTAGCAGTACAGTTTTACTCTACACAAGAGCAATAACATGCTCATGAAATATTTTACATCTGATATTGATCAGCAGGTTCACTGTGGTCAGGGCCAGATTCACGCATAGGCATTCTAGGCACGTGCCTATGTTCGCTCGTCCAGGGGGCCCAAACACAATGAAGAGATATATAATATTTTTGTTATAGGGCTATCTACAACAGTAAAAGAACCAAAACCCCAGAAGACATTGAGCAAATAAATATAACAAACAATAGGGTAAACAATTACAAACTATTTTCATGTCTTCCACCTTTTTAAGTAGGCTACGGAAATAACGCTTTCTTTCTCCCGTTCTCTCTCACAGATGCACACACAGTACAGACACGCACTTGCACACGCGGGAATGCGAACAGTAACTTCTTGTCAGCGCTGCCTCGCAAATTTATCAATAAAATAGTTTTGCAGCTGAAAAGCTACATGACATTTCTCAGTAGCGAGGTTCTTGAAGCAGTTTAACTTAAAGGGGTGGTTCATTGCGATTTCACTTTTTTTACGTTAGTTAGTGTGTAATGTTGCTGTTTGAGCATAAACAATATCTGCAAAGTTCCGAAGTTGAAAGATCAATGCAAACGGAGATATCGTCTTTTAAAATTCTGGCAGTTTAATGCCTACAAAAACGGCTGGTAGGGACTACAACAAGTTACTTGCCGGGTTCGTGACATCACAAACCCACATAAACCCCGCCCCCGGGAACATGAAACGAAGGGGGCGAGGCCATGCTACGCTGCTTTAGAGAAGCGGATGAGAAAACTAGAGGTGCACATAAAAATGTATTCATATATGCATCGCGATTCTGTCTTCTAACGATTCTAATGGATTCACAAGTTTCAAAATCAATGTTCTAAAGCAGCGGTTCTCAATACTGTTCCTCGCGTCCCCCTGCTCTGCCCACGCTCTGCATTTCTCTCTCTCTCTCATTCAGCTCAGCTCCAAACAATTATACACTTATTTCATATAGCTATGAGAAGCGTTAAACATGGATGCGCGTGCTGTTGCCGTACTTTATTAAAGCTTTAATCAGTATAAAACCGTATATTAAAAGCTAACATAAGCAGTAGCATTTACAAATAACAGCATATCTAAAAGTATGAGACAACAACAAACAAAAAACATACCATTAAGAGCCGTGCTTGCACAGGTTCTGCACGATCCTCTTCAATAATATCCTCTGCTTCTCAATCGGGCTCAAACTGATAAGCGATATTAACGACGCCGTTGTTTACAATACAACTGGAGCACATGCCACTGAGGTGAGGGGCGGGACGATTAGACGCGCACTATCAATAAAATAGTTCATAATCGCAGATGAATCGCATGCGATGATGAACGCGATATTGCCTAGACTGTCAGTGAACTACGGCTCTATGTATTAAATGCTGCTCCATCTGCATTAAAGCAGGTGATGGCGATTTACTACCAATCACGGAACCGGCTTTACTGATGAGATGCGCTTGACAATCGCATGCGATTTATTGCACAGCCCTAATCTGAACAATGTCTTGATGTGTGGTTGTGACTCCAGGCCGTTAAAATTATTAGAGAAATAATGCACTCCCGAAGTGGTTATGTGGCCACGAAGCCACGCCTATATGGCTTTCTCAGTTCTCAAACAAATTAAGAACAACATTTGATTTTTATTGACTGAACGCAAGCGCTTGTTGCGATAGAAAACACTATAATGGTTTCCACTGATTAAGAAATATTTTGTTTGCTTGGGTGGTAATATTAGGTCTATTATATTAATAGGAAAGGGAGGCCCAAAAATGTATTTTGCCTATGTCACGAAAAGAGGTAAATCCGGCCCTGACTGTGGTTATGGGTCAAACTTAAAATAAACCTAAACCTGTTTTATAATGTACTACAACACACTGAGCTGCAAATAGCATCTGCTACTATTTGCAATAAAATATGACTAGCATCTAACACTATTTATACTTGGTGCAAGTAGCATCCATCTGATTTTTCACTTAGTGTACACAGAGTTTAACGCAATTTAATGGGCAAATAGCCTCTGACTGTGTATATATTAAATTGTTTATTTTATATTTCAAGTTGAGGGAACCATATATTATATTGTATTTCACTTACTTAATGCATGGCTCATTGCCTCTAAGAAACTCCCGTGGTCCAGCGCACTCTATGCCATCCAGTGCCGTACATAACACCAGGGTATGGTTCACATCTTTGTACACTTGACCGCCAAACTATGAGAAAATGTAAGTTGTAAGTTTTTAGCTTGGCTACACCTATATAAACATCTGTTGGGAGGGCTCTGAGACGCAAGTTGGTGCAACATAATCGTTCCAATTAAAATGTACTTGCCTTTACACATCCATAGCCCAGTTCCTGAAAAGCAGAGAAATTTCCTCCGTGATCGACTGGATCTTGACAAAATATGAATTCCTTTGGTCTAAAAGAGACAAGAGCACGAATTATCATCATGATATAACTATACCAGTGAGCATGGCCGTTTCTAGGCATAGGCGAGCTAGGCGGTCGCCTAGGGCACCACCAGCTGAAGGGTCGCCAATGAGCGCACGTACTGGCACTTTTAGCAGGGTTGTGATAAAGTGGGGCAATCCATAGGGATTTCGCCTAGGGCGTCAAATTGGCTAGAAACGGCCCTGCCAGTGAGCACTGAACTGTTGGTTGGCGTGCTTGATAAAGATGTTTACTTACAGATATCGACAGAGGACGACAGATGATGGAGGGCTGTACTCATACTGCTCAGAGTGACGATTAGACGCGCACTATCAATAAAATAGTTCATAATCGCAGATGAATCGCATTCGATGATGAACGCGATATTGCCTAGACTGTCAGTGAACTACGGCTCTATGTATTAAATGCTGCTCCATCTGCATTAAAGCAGGTGATGGCGATTTACTACCAATCACGGAACCGGCTTTACTGATGAGATGCGCTTGACAATCGCATGCGATTTATTGCACAGCCCTAATCTGAACAATGTCTTGATGTGTGGTTATGACTCCAGGCCGTTAAAATTATTAGAGAAATAATGCACTCCCGAAGTGGTTATGTGGCCACGAAGCCACGCCTATATGGCTTTCTCAGTTCTCAAACAAATTAAGAACAACATTTGATTTTTATTGACTGAACGCAAGCGCTTGTTGCGATAGAAAACACTATAATGGTTTCCACTGATTAAGAAATATTTTGTTTGCTTGGGTGGTAATATTAGGTCTATTATATTAATAGGAAAGGGAGGCCCAAAAATGTATTTTGCCTATGTCACGAAAAGAGGTAAATCCGGCCCTGACTGTGGTTATGGGTCAAACTTAAAATAAACCTAAACCTGTTTTATAATGTACTACAACACACTGAGCTGCAAATAGCATCTGCTACTATTTGCAATAAAATATGACTAGCATCTAACACTATTTATACTTGGTGCAAGTAGCATCCATCTGATTTTTCACTTAGTGTACACAGAGTTTAACGCAATTTAATGGGCAAATAGCCTCTGACTGTGTATATATTAAATTGTTTATTTTATATTTCAAGTTGAGGGAACCATATATTATATTGTATTTCACTTACTTAATGCATGGCTCATTGCCTCTAAGAAACTCCCGTGGTCCAGCGCACTCTATGCCATCCAGTGCCGTACATAACACCAGGGTATGGTTCACATCTTTGTACACTTGACCGCCAAACTATGAGAAAATGTAAGTTGTAAGTTTTTAGCTTGGCTACACCTATATAAACATCTGTTGGGAGGGCTCTGAGACGCAAGTTGGTGCAACATAATCGTTCCAATTAAAATGTACTTGCCTTTACACATCCATAGCCCAGTTCCTGAAAAGCAGAGAAATTTCCTCCGTGATCGACTGGATCTTGACAAAATATGAATTCCTTTGGTCTAAAAGAGACAAGAGCACGAATTATCATCATGATATAACTATACCAGTGAGCATGGCCGTTTCTAGGCATAGGCGAGCTAGGCGGTCGCCTAGGGCACCACCAGCTGAAGGGTCGCCAATGAGCGCACGTACTGGCACTTTTCGCAGGGTTGTGATAAAGTGGGGCAATCCATAGGGATTTCGCCTAGGGCGTCAAATTGGCTAGAAACGGCCCTGCCAGTGAGCACTGAACTGTTGGTTGGCGTGCTTGATAAAGATGTTTACTTACAGATATCGACAGAGGACGACAGATGATGGAGGGCTGTACTCATACTGCTCAGAGTGATTTGATATTTCAGCAGGTAACGTTGTAACACTCCTCGTCACATTTCCTTCTGGTCGATGATTGCTGAGCACAACTGTTTTGCTGGTCGTTACTCTGTTCCCGGGTGCCTCGGTTGAGTTTTGCGAGTGAATCCCTTCTAGACACTGTAATAGCAGCACTGTGAAGAGCAGCAAGAACTGTCCGCCTAATAAAATGTAGTTGACTGAAATCTGCGGCATCATTTCTGGACAGCAGTTAAGCTGAACGGCTAAACAATCTTTCAGATAACGAACGCGACAGCAGCTAAATTAGCGGTAATTTTTCCAGTGGCATCTGCTAATGTCAGTCGACATATTACTGGCAGTTTTATTTCATAACATGCAACTTATGTTCCGTCTTGCAGCCGAGAATGTACCATATTATTGTGCTACCAGTAAACACAAGCTAAAACTGGTCTGTACAATGACAACATAAGCGGCGCGTTGTGATGACGCGTTGTGTGTAGCGTTACGTCATTTCATTTGTGTTATTCAACTCAAGAAATAAATTGATATAGCAGTACTATAAATAACTAGCATTTCCCTATTACAATTATTAAACATTCATGGGATTAAAGTTAGCCATCAATTGTGTTGCAGATGTAGACCATTAACGGGATAATTCATTTGAGTTCAGTGTATTTGACTTGTTACAAACATCACGTTCTAGATAGTTTTGTGGATTTCAGTGTGTGTGTGTGTGTGTGTGTGTGTGTGTGTGTGTGTGCGTGTGCATATATTTTTCTATCCCCGTGGAGACCTAAACCTGAATACACGTGGGAACTCGTGTCACCGTGGTGATCTAAATTGAGGACCCCATGGGGAAACAATTTTATAAAATTGTACTATTTATTTGTTAAAGTTTTTTGAAAATCTAAAAATGCAGAAAGTTTTCTCTGAGGTTTAGGTTTAGGTTAACCTGGACCTGGAGGCACCCCAACACTGCACATTTTGCATGTCTCCTTTCTCTGAAACACCAGTTTCAGGTAGGGCAATAGTAAATACAGTTTGTACAGTAGAAGAGAGTCCCCACAAGGATAGTAAACCAGACGTGTGTGTGTGTGTGTGTGTGTGTGTGTGTGTGTGTGTGTGTGTATTTTGAAATACCGGTACATTTTAAGCCCCCTACACTGAGTAAACCTTTTAGCCCAGCTGATCTGGTTCCATCATACGGTCATGGGTGACCTCTTGTGGTGAAATGATCATCATCAGCATCATGCAGGTGCAAATTTTGCCCGCATTAAAAAAGTTAATGTTTGTAAATGTTCTTAAAAGTCAAATACAAGTACTTAATGTAAAATATATATTATTTATTATAAACTTGATTTTAGGTAGAAAAAAGTCTAGGCTTAACTTTTAATTAATCGTCAGGGAAAAGAGATCATGAGAAGTAGACTGAAACGAAATGCTAGGACTGTTAAGATATTGCCTATAGCCTAAAATATGTTTAAGTGAGATGTATATTAGTCATATGACTACTTTCAATGGTTAAAAAAAAAACAAAGAGAAAAACACAGAAAAATGGTATGAAATGTATTTAATAGCTGCTCTGCAACTTCATGTAGCTATATTACACATTTTTCACACTTTTACACAGCAGATAAAGACTAAAGAATAAATAGTATATATTAATTTTTAATCCAGATCTTATAGATCTTAAAGTCTCATACCATAGACTTTAGATATACCATAATGCACATCATTACAACTGAATTTGTTGTTGCTCCTGTACAGATATCTCTAGAGATCTCGACACGGTATGTTTTGATCCTCATTAGGATTTGATCTAAACTCAGTTGATCCAGGAGTTGTAATACCAGCATGCTCATTTGTATCAGTTTCACCATATGGTACAAATACTGAGGTTTGTGGCATTTTTCGGCCATGCACCCACATTGGCACAGGGTAAGGTCTGCATCTGGACCGGTAGCTAACGTTGAAAATAGGGGGGGCTTGATCCTGATATGATACAGCAGAAGAGGTGGCAGCAGATGTGGTCACGTAACTCTGTGGATATAAAACACTTCCATGTGCTGAGACAAGCGCACCCTGAAAAAAAATCAGATCAAATCATTATTATTATTATTTTATTTTTAATTGTATTATTTATTTATTGTAAAAAAAAAAAAAATTACATGCAAATTAAAGGCAATAAAACAACACATTTTGTTAACATGTTTTATGTCTTTTTATATTTTTAAACATTATTGCGTTATTTATTTATTTATTATTATTTCACAATAAATAACTGCAATAAAACAACACATTTTGTTAACATGTTTTATGTCTTTTTATATTTTTAAACATTATTGCGTTATTTATTTATTTATTATTATTTCACAATAAATAACTGCAATAAAACAACACATTTTGTTTAGCATGTTTTATGTCTTTTTTATATTTTTGAACATTATTGTATTTTTTACAATTATTTTACAATAAATAATTGTATTTTTAGTCATATTCAACCAAATAGGCTTACATCATGAATTGTCAACCTACCTGAGAGGTTGTTCTGTACTGCTGAAAATCAGACATGCCAATAAGTCTTTGTTGTGAGGATGAGACTGAAGTGGTGTAACCTTGACCCTCCCCTTCATTTGACCTTCTAGATAACCAAGGACCAGTTGCTTCAGATGCCAAAAACGGAAGTGTTCCAACATAATTAAACTGGCATAAATTTGACAAGACATGTGGCGGCACACACAGAGAATTAATTAGGCCTGGAGTGGGGATGTAATAGTGCCGAGTGAGCGAACCCTTCTGAGAAACATCAGTCTCATCATCTGCAAACTTGTGTTGTTCAGCATGTTTTTTATCCAATGTTAAATGTTCAGAACCCTCTTCACCATGCTTTTTTTTGCAGATGACCTTTATGTTCCTTTCTCCTTGTATCTCCTCTTTTGAATCGTCCTTGGACTCTTGCACTGTTGTTGAGATTTCTGTGGAATTTTGCTCATCTTGAGAAACCGAATGCTTTCTATCTTCATTGCTTTCCTTCTCATCTCCATATCCATCAATGTCACTCTCATTTGTATCTGTAGAATAAATATCTCATAAATGTGTGTTAGGAATAGCAACAATAATATTAATAATAAATCAGATGACAAAAGCATATTAATAAATAATAATATAAGTATACAAAATATATATACATAAGTATAAAATTGTTTACAATAATCAACAGTTTGACCTTTATTATACAGTATAAGTATATTATTATTATAAATCCCAACCCAACACCTGTTGAAGTCACACACAGAGAATTAATTAGGCCTGGAGTGGGGATGTAATAGTGCCGAGTGAGCGAACCCTTCTGAGAAACATCAGTCTCATCATCTGCAAACTTGTGTTGTTCAGCATGTTTTTTATCCAATGTTAAATGTTCAGAACCCTCTTCACCAAGCTTTTTTTTGCAGATGACCTTTATGTTCCTTTCTCCTTGTATCTCCTCTTTTGAATCGTCCTTGGACTCTTGCACTGTTGTTGAGATTTCTGTGGAATTTTGCTCATCTTGAGAAACCGATTGCTTTCTATCTTCATTGCTTTCCTTCTCATCTCCATATCCATTAATGTCACTCTCATTTGTATCTGTAGAATAAATATCTCATAAATGTGTGTTAGGAATAGCAACAATAATATTAATAATAAATCAGATGACAAAAGCATATTAATAAATAATAATATAAGTATACAAAATATATATACATAAGTATAAAATTGTTTACAATAATCAACAGTTTGACCTTTATTATACAGTATAAGTATATTATTATTATAAATCCCAACCCAACACCTGTTGAAGTTGATGTAACGACGTTCGTTTCTTGAATTAAAGGATTTGATGAAGTTTGGTCAAAAGATGAGTCGTGTGTGAACACATTGGCTTTTTTCGGTGCCACATCACACCTCTGATGCAACATCTGTTTCCTAATTATTGAAAAATACATATGTCAGTGGATATTAAACTGATTCTTTTCAGACACTACTGTTCAAAAGACTGCATTGAAAATCTGAGATCTAATTTCAAAACTAATTTAAACCTGGAAATAAAGAAAGTTTCTTACACAAAATAGCATGATGTAAATACAAAGACAAAGATACGATGTAAATAAGAAGGATTTTGCACTAATCAAATAATACGTACATTTGTGATATGATCATGTGAACTATTTTTTTCCAAAGGTCAGATTTGCTAAGTACTGAGCTCTTTGAATCATTCTCAAATCATGCTGGAGAAAATTATCATCAAGTTTTACACACGTTTGTGTCCATGCAGCTTGAGTACTGCTGTCATTAAAGCAAAAGGGGACAGACTCAGAAATTAATATTGTTTAGTTCAACTTTTCACTTCAGTATGCAGATAATATAATTTGTTCTGAGAGAAAAAAAATCGACTGTAAAGGCATAAATCTGACAGCAAGAAATAGCCTATACCTTTTCTCTCGTCTCCCATTTCCGGTATCTCGGAATCCTTTGGCAAATGGGTTATTATCGATTTTCAGCTGAGTTATCTGTAAAGGTATGGTTAACATGTTAATGATGATACCACATTTCTTTAGTGTTGTGAAAATTGTTCACAGCTTTATTAACTTATAAAACATTTGAATCTGTCACCTTTTCATTTTGGTATGCCGTCACGGCGATAAATTCTGTCTCAGGAAACACATAGGTTTTGAAGGTGCTGTAAGGAAGTTTGAGGATGTCGTTGGCTCGAACGATATGAAACCTCGGCTGATATTTGTGCATGGAGTTTAATATGGTCTGCAAAACAAAATCATATAATTTTGCATAATCATTTCATAATTATTATTTTTTTTTTCAAACAATAACACTTATGTTCAAATTCCACAAAATTACTTTCAAATTCAAATCTTTTCACACGGAATTAAACGAAAATTATCTTTAATAAGCTGATCGCTTCAGGCAACTTGTTGAATGTTGCATAGCGCTCGTTAGCTCTTAACACTTGGTGACAGTAAGACAATTATTTTGAGAAGAAATTTACAATAAATGTCATCCATAAATTGTGAATCGCATTAAATACTCACAAACACATGTTTGTCAGATATATTGTTCGTCAATTTGAGCTTATGAAAGGTCACAGCTTTGGACATCCATTGCTCCCCGGTAGCAGGGCTGTCTGGGTGGATGTACATTCGTTTGGGCATTTCTGGATCGGCCTTTCCAGCCACCATCCAGCGAGAGTTGTGAAACCTATATCTGTATTCATCGGCTGCGACTATATCCATCAGCAGGATGTACCTCGCCTTCCTGTCCAAGCCGCTGCAGCACACTCTGAATGCTGGAAACATGCGCCTCGAAGAAGCAAGACACGTTTCACTTGTTTACAAGAGTTCAAGTCAAAAGACAAAAGAAATATGAAGCTTATGCAGTCAATGCCCATTTTTAAAAGACTCCGCGCAGAGCCTAGACGTGTTAAATCACCTTCTTACCTTCCAGACTTTGTTATGACCATCTCCGTGCAGCTTTTGTGAAACTGCCCCCACAGTTCCTTGCCTTCCAGGTGAACCACGGGGTCATCCTCAGGTGCCAGTCCGGGGTCCCTCGTCTCCACAGAGAGGTCCGCGGGAGACGCGGCTTCTTTGAGTGCCAGACGAATCGACTTATGGAGCACGTTCGCAAACTGCTGTTTCCCGTATCCAACAGGAAAAAACTGGGACTGCTGTCCAAGCATCGAACTAATAGTGAGGTCAGTGGGACTGGCCGGTATTAAGTGGTGATACGCCATTCTCTCCACTTGCGCTGTTTGTGGGGTTATCATACTCACTTCATCCTCACAATGTAGGTAACAACTCCTCTCTGAGGTCTTCAGCATTCACTCCTTATGTGGAATCATGCTAATTTCAGTGTGTCAGAAGTTGTAGACAGTTTGTCCAAATGCATCTCGCGTTTTTGAGTGAATCATCCATTCTCATGCTTTCATGCCTTTATCCTGTTGAGTGAAGAGCCCAACTGCAGAGACCGTAAAAGTTGTTTTATAGGGGTCTCGTGCGCACAGATGATAAACCCTGGGGACCTAATGCCGGATCTCAAGACAGCATGGTGTTTGTTGTCGGGACGGGTCAGTCAGGGGTTTCTTATTGGCTCCGTGGACACACCCAAACCAATTGTGCTTCGTAAGGGCGTGGTAAATCGATTTATAAAGAATCAACTGCAACAAAGTGATTTGATACGAATGGAGCTTCAGCTGTCTAGATTTTAGCGTTGCTCAAACTTATGAATAAAGTAAAGAAAGATCGGGGCTCGTTGTCACACTAACTATAAGGTTGTGAATCAAAGGGTCCAATTGCACAGATTAATTTTGTAGCCTATTCAAAACGCTTTTTATTTTATTTTATTCTATTTATCCCTTATCATGAACAATAAAACTAAATAAAATAACTCAAATTATACATGCATATAATTTATCAATTACAATTTCTTTAATTACAGTATTAAAAAGGTTTTATATTTTATATGTTACCATTTACATTTTTGCTTTTTTGTTTCATGGTTCATGATTTGTTATTTTGTTTCATAATTATTTCACTGTATAGGCCTACATTTTTCTGAAAATTCTCAAACAAGTTGTTAAATGGCAGGTTCCATTGTGACAACTTACCCCCATGCAACACAGAAATTGACATTTGGAAATAAACATGCCTTGAGAAATATTCACTGACATTATTCTGATATTACTGTATGTTAAAAGCATGTACTAATGTCAATATACTACTGTCTGTAGAACAAACAGCAGGACATATAAAATATATTGGCCTAACTGATGCTCTTTTTAGGACTGTCACGTTAAATTACCCCTCCCACACCACCACCCATAATCAATGTTACATCTCTAATCTAGATGCTTGATACAAAAGCACCAACCACAACCACAAAATACAGTCCAACATGAGAAACTCTTTCCCCTCACACATTTTACATAATTATCACAGTGAATTACAACCATCTCATGATATAACACAGTTTTGAGTTAGTACCCTAAAATAAGTCCCACTCCGTCCTGTAATATCATGCTGTGACATGAGTGGGAAATGACTGAGGATTCAACTGATGTATGCTTCTGATTGTCCTGGCTGGATTAGTGAGTGTATTCAGTTACACGTTTTTATTGCAGAAGAGTTTTGGCTGCACATTCCATGAAGGCTAAAAAACACCACAGTGGACTGAGTGAGATCAGCAGTACACAAGCCTCTTGAAACCAGCAGTTGTGTAACTTTGTATTCAATACAAACCATTTTCCTTTTCTTGATGTCTACAATCACATATTGAAATCTAAGCAACTCCTAGCAGTCACTTTTAGATATCAAGCTTTGATGTTTTTTGAAGAATGTGGCCAAACTATCACGGCGCCAATTTGACAGTTCATGTAATGGGGAAGCCCCATCAGATGCTCCATTGTGAGGTTTTTAATGAGGATCTATTTCTGTTTCTGCTCAAGGCATCAGCAATTTAGCAATTTTTTTTCTTAGTGGGAGGCTAACTGGCGTCACTTTTGTGTTGTCTTTTGTATTAGTGTATAGTGTAGTGTAAAATGCCTGACAGCACATTCTTTCAGTATCATTGCTGAGTTAAATGTTGATTTTTATTATCAATGTTGAGAACAGTTGGGGTGCTTAAAATATTTTGTGAAAACCATGACATATTTTTTTCAAGAATTTGTTGATTTTGTTTAACATTAATATCTTTACTGTCACTTTTGATCAATTGAATTTAAACACTTGATCTATATCAATATAAGAGGGGTGAAAACTCCTTCACAGAGATACAGCTTTATTTCGAACATTGCCTATATTCTGAAGCATTTAAATTATTTCACGCCCTGCTTCTGTAATGGATAAATCTGAATTTACGATGACGCTGTTCTGTGACAGCTTTATGTCCTGTTTTCAGCTACGCTGCCATGGTGGCTGAGAGTACAGAGAAAGATCCACACACCAGCTTATGAGAGATATGCCATCTGCGGCCATCCACTACTGATGACCCAATCTTTATTGGGCAAGGAGCAACCCTGGCTGTCAGTCATCCCTACTTCAAAGAGTGAGCGGGCAGAGAGCTGTTGGAGGGAGAGAGCACTGATGCCAGTCTGATATTTGTGAGAACACTAACAGGCATTGTGTGTAACTCAAAACCGAGGATAAATAGTTGCTTTAAACTGCTCCACCAGCCGGTACTGACCCTTGAGGTGTGGCTGGTTGGGAAGCGGTGAGGTTTTAATGCTACATTTTGACACAGGATGTTTTGTTTGTAATATTATAGTTGCATTTATAGTATATCTACATTTGTACCATTGCATATGTTTAGTGCTATTTTTTTTTAAAAACAAAAAATGTTTGACAGCATGAGTATTTCATTTATGCAATTTTTGTGTGTGTGTTTGTAGGATAACATTCAGCTCACAAATCTGTTGCTGAGTAGACAACCTTGGATAGAAGGATTTCAATAAAGCATTACGACAGTAAAAAGAAGTAATTCATTTTGAACTTGAGGCGAACAATATGCAGATGTGAAGGTGAAGGGATTCGGATTTGTGAATATATCCAAGAGGAAAAATAAAGGAAAACGCAATTACTTAACGTGAGTAATTGGGGTTACTTTCCTGCAGTGAATGAGCAATGAGTGGCCTCAATGTGGCCATCTCTCAAACACCTCAGCTGTTTATTTAGAAGGGCTGTGATGAATAGTCGGCCACTAACAGACTGGTGTGACTGGACATGTTTGGACTGTGGAGGTGGGAGGAATGCAGTTAAACAGTGGCACTGAGAAGGTGTGAGGAGAGTGAGAAGTTGAAACAGAGCAGAGGTTCAGAGCACGTCATGCTGTCAAATAGATGGTACTTCTCAGAAACAAAAACAGGACAGGCAGGATTTTTTAATGATCCACGTTCAAGATTAAGTAAACAGCAGAAATCAGCACATCTCTTTAGACAGGCTTTCTGGGAGCAGATCCAGCAGCAGATGAATGAGCACTGACGGAAATGAAAGTAAATGACTGATTATCCAGCGCGTCTGCAGTCATTAGTGTGATTCGGTTTACATCCTAATGAAGAACACTTCAAGAAATATTGTTTCATAATAGATATGTTAACTACTATTATAAAATAGTATAATAGTAGTTAACCTGCCTCAAGAGCTGCTGAAACAGTTCTACTCCGCCATCATTGAACAACAGAGCAGAGGTTCAGAGCACGTCATGCTGTCAAATAGATGGTACTTCTCAGAAACAAAAACAGGACAGGCAGGATTTTTTAATGATCCACGTTCAAGATTAAGTAAACAGCAGGAATCAGCACATCTCTTTAGACAGGCTTTCTGGGAGCAGATCCAGCAGCAGATGAATGAGCACTGACGGAAATGAAAGTAAATGACTGATTATCCAGCGCGTCTGCAGTCATTAGTGTGATTCGGTTTACATCCTAATGAAGAACACTTCAAGAAATATTGTTTCATAATAGATATGTTAACTACTATTATAAAATAGTATAATAGTAGTTAACCTGCCTCAAGAGCTGCTGAAACAGTTCTACTCCGCCATCATTGAATCCATCCTCTGCACTTCAATAACTGTCTGGTTCAGCTCAGCTACCAAATCTGACCTCAGAAGACTACAGAGGGTAGTCCGGACTGCTGAGCGAATCATTGGTACAACCCTCCCTTCTCTCCAAGAACTGTACTCATCCAGAGTGAGCAAAAGGGCTGGCAGAATCACTCTGGACCCCTCACATCCAGCACACTCCCTCTTTGAACTGTTGCCATCTGGTCGACGCTACAGAGCACTGAGCACCAGAACGACCAGACACAGGAACAGTTTCTTCCCTCAGGCCATCCATCTCATGAACACTTGACAATAACCGTGGAACACACACTATTTATTCACTCATACACTTATTTATCTAACACTCATACTCAGCCTACACCTCAAATTTGCACATAATATACAGTACCTGTACATAAAAAAAAATAAAAAAAACACTGTCTATTGTAATATACCTGCACACACAATTGTCAATTTATATATTTTTATTCCTTATTTACTTGTTCTATTTTTATTTTTATTATCTGTGTTTTTTGTTCTGTCACTGTCATTCTGTTACACTGTGGAGCTTCTGTCATGAAAACAAATTCCTCGTATGTGTAAACATACCTGGCAATAAAGCTCATTCTGATTCTGATTCTGAAAATAAATGCTGTTCTTTTGAACTTTCTATTCATTAAAGATTCCTGGGGGGAAAATATATATGGTTTCCACAAAAATATTCAACAGCACAATTGTTTTCAACAATAAAAACAATAAAAATGTTTATTGAACAGCAAATCAGCATATTAGAATGATTTCTGAAGAATCATGTTACACTGAAGACCAAAGGAATGGCTGACATTGAACACTTTTCCATGACAGACATTATGATCTTTCAGTAAGGGTTTGAGCCTTTGAGAATCATTCTTCATACATTCAGGTTAATTGCTAATCTTATTCAAGGATTCTTGCATTTAAAAAAGCTAAATGTTTGTCCTTCTACTTAATTTTTTATATTGTGATCTCATGATATTCTTATACAATCGGATATATTATTGTTACATCGATCTTTGATGGTTCAAGTTCCCACTCTAAAGAATAAAAGAAATCATTGAAAATAAATTAGAGCCTGCAGAGCCCAAGTGAATGATTTTTTAAATTTTTTTATTTCATTATTATTTTGTGATGCTTATTTTCGAACAAGAAAAAAAGACTCACAACAACAAATTCTGTTCTGAAGGTTATTTCTGTGAATCATACTGTATGAACAATTGTTTGGCTCTTTGTTCGAGGCGATGAGAAAAACATCTTGTGTTTGTACTTGATAAAGAAAGAAATCGGTTTCATTGCCACATCTGCACTTTGGGAATCAAATACAACTTTCTTGCACAAACATTGATCGATGTCAGGAGGTCAATGATAACTGGCGGGGTTGA